CCAGCTGCTAAGTAACTAAATGACCAGATATCAACAATCTATGTGTCTCAAGGACTCACTTCCTCTAAATCCCAACTACTCATACTCTTAATGATATACCTGATGAATGCAGATATTTGTCCGGGTAACAAGTGATGTGGCTTGTATCTCCATGTGGCCTGCCCACACACAATTCTCTCGCATCGTCTTCAGATAGTTATCAAAGGGTATTCCATCCTCCAAAAATGGTTCAAAATCTTCTCGATGCTCCTATAAGCGAAAAGAAAGTGATGTACTAAATCAGATTGGTACGACTCCAACCAGTCAAGCTGTCCATATACAAGTAACACTCTACGTAAAACTTATATCTTATCATTAGGATGTACTTGTTGTACTACCTGAATGGAACATACAATTGACGTATCACTTGTATATGTGATTGGTGAAATGTGTAGAATAGCAGAGCAAATTACGAGATTGAAATGCACGCTAACCATGATTTTTAAGAACTTTTGTACCAATAATTGAATAATTTTCGCACCTGTAAGTAGTCTACAGCCTTTTGCCGGTAAGCAGAGTGTTGCTCTTCAGCCCCCTCTAGTTGGTCCGCAACAGCCCTGCCAAAGACATACTCGGTATCATCAGCCTGTTGACTTCCTGATCAATTCTCCGGTCATGGATGACACCACTCAGTAATATATCCTCCATAACCTTGATTAGTCATGTTCCAACTCGCCCAAGATACACATAGAAACTTGAACATGAATGAATACATAAATTGATTGCGCTCACTGCACATGTATGAACCTGAAAAAACAGTTGCCATCAGCTGTAACTGGAACGACTTTAAGACCCAACAAGCTCAATTGTTCATTTAGGCTTGCAATCTCCAGCACCTTATCCTGCACAATGCCATCTAATCAATAAATGCCAATGCAACTTTCCCAGTCTCTCATCTGATAACAACTCAAGTCAATCAACACATCATAAAATTGCGAACCCTGAATCAGTCACAGCAACCACCTGTTTGATCCAGATAACCCGTTACCTGATCGTGTAGAATTGAACCAAACCTATCAACCAGAAAAACCATAACAGACTTTGAATAACAAGGAGCGTTTTGCAGCTTACGGTAACCCCAACCAAACCAGCTGAATACGAATGTTGCTAAGGCTTTAGCAAGGATAGCTTCAAGCAATATTGTTCCATGTACTTACAAACACCAACAGGCTACTCCATACAAGGTACATGAAATCAAGACAAATTTCACTACAGAGAAGATACGAAGAGGAGTTGAAGCAACACCTTATGTCGACGGCCTGATACTCTCATCCGCAGGCCTGTCCGTTTCTGGCCCATGTCACAGAGAAGTAAATGACTTCTGATATTAAGAACAATTCTTCCCGTTAACCCTTTGAATAACAAAATCTGCGATGCCGCTATCCAATCCCGAGCTAAAGACTTTCACAGCATCAGACTACACGGGTTGCCCAACGAAGTTCCCCTAATTCCTTCCAACTCCACAGTGAGAATCAAGTCACACGAACTTGATCCCTCGCCACCGCAATCACAGACCAAACCATCCACCGTCTCCGCAGCCTCTCTCTCTCCCCGCCAAACAAACTGGAAAGAGTTAACCCTGAACAATCAACAAGTAGAAGAACCACGAATTGGATTTTGCGCACGGACCCAATTTCACTGAAACACGAGAAAGCAATCTCTCCACCCCGGTTGCAACACTTGAGCTCCCTTCTCGCACGGTATCCAACAAAGTCGCAGCAGAGCTGCATCAATGAAACATATAAGCGAAACCAGCCATTTCCTAGACTGCCACGACATTAAACCAATTGGAAAAAAACGGTCCTAAATAGTGAAGCGCAGGATTTTTGTCATAGGCAAGTGTCGGCTACCTGTCACGTAAGGAATTTACCGGCACTTGTCCTGTGGACCGTCTCTTCCGCTGTCCACAAGAAGAATGGGAATTGCGAGATGGATGAAGACAGATGGAGCAATGGATGGCGGTGGATTGTGTCCGAGTGCAGATCCATAGACAGACAAGATCATGGAGCAATCAATCAGTTGGCCTTGGATCATCTCCCCTCGTCTCGTCCATCTCCACTTCGGTGCCCACACGGAGCCTGCACGCGACGAGGATGGCGCCGCACCCACCACACCACACCACCTCGTAGCCCACTTCCTCTTCCAAACTAACATGCCGCCGTATTACAACTTCAAGTGTTTCTTAAAGACTTTTCTTATCTTTACAATATTATTCAGTCTATACTTCCTTGTCTCGATACAAAACTTAAGATTCGATTGAGGTGTAGAATATTTGTACACTAATTTGTGATTTTTATTTTTTATTTTTTTATTTATTTGAAGTAGGACATGGATAAATCTCAATTTTTTATGTACCCTTTGTTTTTTTAAAAAATATTTTCTTTTGTCGTTTATTAAATGATGTTTAATTTTCTAATACCATCTTTGTATAGATGTCTATTGTAACTAAAAGATCTGTTGTAGCTTTTCTTATATTAATTTCTCAAAAAAAAAAAAAAAAAAAAAAACAAGAAAAGTGAATTTAAGTTTAAATAAAGGTAACATGGATAAATCTCAACTTCTTTGAATCATTTGCGATGAAAATATAGGTTGATGACCACTAATTCTTTTCTAGCAAAATAAAATCTTTTGACAATGCAGTTGATAATGTATCTCTTATGATTAAAGTTTTTCCAAATTCGGCTAAAATCTATATAAAAATAATAGATATTTATTTTATTTTGTTTGGAAGCTGTTTTAATGCAATTCAAATAGGAAAATAATTAACTCCAATATTCTTTATAGTATTTAATATTTATAGTTCCTTAAATTTAAAATTAGAATTTTATAATTCAAAAATATTTATGTCTACAATTCAGTTATATAAAATAAATCAATATTTTTCTCTTTATCTCTAACTTTTCAACTATATAAATAACAAATGTGAAGAATAAGATTTTTAATACCATTTGGTAGAGTTTTTGGATCTTTCATTTTTCACATTCAAGGAAATAATACATTAGAAAAGATGGTTTTAAAAAAATAAAAAATAAAAAATAAAATAAAAAAACTTCAAAACCAATATAAAAACAACCACCTAATTTTTCAAGAACTTTATTCTTGCTTTTATACCATCACGACCAATTTCATTTGCATGAAATAATCTGGTGTTGAAAACTTACCTAGCTTCATCTAAAATTCTATAGAAGATTCCCACTATGTATCAATTTAATTTGATTCATTCTATTTAGCTTAGTGTGTGCATCCAAAGATTTTAAAAATATTTAATTGTCTTTTTTGTCATCAATCACTTAAAAACGATATTTATTATTATTATTTAATACTATTATATTTCACTAAAGAAAACATGCTTGTAAAACCTAACAGTGAATATTTGTATATTATAAAAAATTCTTTAAACAAAAAAAAACTTGAATTTTTTATTCAAATCTAATTTTTACTTGTTAAAATTTTTATTACCAAGATATATAATTATAGAGTCAATCTGTGTTTTTTAAATAAAATTTTCTTAACCTCAAATCAAAAAATTATATTTTAATTATTTCAGTTTTAAATTTTAATAAAATATATTTTCAAATACATTAAATATTTTTTATCAGAATAAGAACAATAAAAAATTTATATATTTAAATTTAAAAATACAAGAATTATGAAAAAAAAATCTCTTTAATTTTTTTAAAAAATATCAACAAATAAAAGAGAAGCCGACTTAAAATTTTATTTGTGATGATTTTTTAATGTGAAATAAATATTTCACTAGAAGAAGAAGTATCAAAAAAAATCTTATTATTATTTATACTTGATATTTAGTAGATAATTTTTTTCAAGAGACGTAAGAATTCTAATTTATTATTATGTTTTACTTCTTTGAATGTTATACCTTAAGTGATCAAATTTTTTTTCTTTAAATTTTAAAATAGCCCAACCACAATGTTGTGATATCTATATACAAATCCACCATAATTATATTTACCTCTTTATGAAGTAACTATTAAAACTTTCCTCATGACTTATCTATTGATCCAATAACTCTCAAAAAATTCCTATTGTTGCAAGGGTGTATCAAAATATGTGCATTGTGAAATATCCAATGGATCTGGAGACTTCATTTCCACCCAAGTTTTCTCTTTTTTTGCCACCTTCAGTTGTTTAAACTAAGGAGTGTAGTTTCCATCTAAAATATTCAATGAGATGAGAGAGGTATGAGAGATTGTCTTATGCCAATTGTTGACCTAGCACTTACATTACACACAGATGAAGAATCAACCCAAGTTTGTACTTCAGCCATAAACCTGTTGATTGACTTCTGCTTCAACATTTTTGTTATTTCTTCAATTGAAATGAACAGAGCCTTGGAGACTTGTAGTCACATGTACATGAATTATCAGCATTGTGCTGATGGATCTGGTTTGGGGTGCAGACTTCCAGCACCACTGAATGGAAAGTGGATTGTAGTTACATTATTAATGCAAATAAATGCTATGTGGCTCTGTATAGCACTATACAGATTGTTTATTTTGTATGAATGTGCATATTCTTGTTCAAGGTCTGTGAAACTGTAACAGCTTCTTTGATGAACATGAGCAAACTTTTAATCCTAAGCTACTGATGACTGCAATGCTTTCTTTGATACCAAAGCAACTGGCCCCTTCAGGGTGACCTCGCTTATTATCCTAACATCAGTCCCTCGTAGTGGTATTCTTGCTAATGCAATTTCATTCGCTCCCAGTTATCACACCCATTTTTTAAAGCTCCTTTGAAAGGTTCAAATCGGTGAGTTCAAGGCCACTACAATTCCAACTTCTGGCATCAATTAATAAGATATTTTTGGTATCTATTTCCACGATAGCATACGGATAGCTTTCGGTAGCTGCAAGTTCAGCACTTAGAACATCTGGAGAAGTTAATGTTTGATGGGTTCAATTCCTTTGGAGACCACCATAGACTACATACACACATGCTAACTGGACAATTACTGATGAAGTTGGATCATTTCTGTATGACAGAAACTGTCTTAAAACAACTATCCTCTCCTTGTAAAAATTTAAAATAAAATTAACAAGGCTCAGATTCGACTCGTAAACGGTGTTGTGATGTCATGAGTTGTGCTGCATACTTTCACCTACAACACATCCCAAATGTGGGTATCCTTGGACGTTACAATGCTACTGCGAACTAGGGAACTTGTCACAGCATCAAATCGGGTACAAAACTCTCACAAGGGCTTTTCCAAGCTAATTTCAGTAGTACAAATGTCATACCTACTTCAGCACCTTAAGTGGAATCTTACGATGTGTTCTTACGCTTACCAATAGCCCAAACTACTGATGCAGAGAAAGGGACAACAAAGTACGCAGCTGTTCGCAGTTGTGCTTCGGTCTCGGGTGAAAGGGCTCCTATACGCGACCAATCTCCACTATACCTGAAACGAATATTTCATAACATAAATTTCCACCTCATTTTTGCAGTACTTCACGCTGCAGTTTAATAAGTCATGTCATATTTGAAGAGGTTTTTTTTCCTAAAAAAATAGCGTATGTTTGGATGAGATAGCAGTAGCTTACCCAGCGTCAACAAATCCAAAAGCAACGACAACAAGAGCAGCCTGAATCCAAAACTCAATCGCTGCATAGAACGGCTTCTCGCCACCTCCTTGCAGCCTGTCTTCATCTCTCTCTTGAGCCGTTGCAATCACTCTTCGTTTTCGCGAAAAAACTGGCATCCCTTGGCTAGTAAACCCTAGTTCACGTCCAAATGCAACCCTGTTCTTGAACAATACCGACACCAGCTCTCCATCGCTGCTGCAAAATCTTGCTATGCCACTGCTGGGTCCGCTCGACAGTCCACGACTTCGCGATAACATATTAAGAGTGAGAAACTATGCGTGCATTCGCGAGCCTACAGATGAATCATAAAAGTAAATCATTGGAAGAATAAATGTACCTATCATGTATTCGCGTTGCACCGCGAGTCAACGGCCGTGCGGGAATCAAAACGCATATCGCCATGCCCAAAACACTGTCTCACACGGCCCCTAAGCTCTCACAGCTTCGCCACGAGTTGTACTTGATACCATTTACAAACTCCTGACTCTGCAACAACCCGGAGCTACACACAATCAGGCCCACGTTTATCAATCGACGACTTCACTTGTCTTATTGCCTATAACTTTTCAGGTACTCAAATCCAACAATCACAGAAAAACACAAACCACGAATCCATGCGGTTGAAAACACCCACAAATCTCAACAACACCCTCAAAAACTCACCACTGGCTTCAAGAGCGTAGAATCTCCGCCTGGAATGGCAAACTTCTACGATACTCGCTCGAATTCAGCCAAATTCTCTGCCCTCGCGAGCCGAGGGAAAGGATTAGTCTGCAAGGTGGAGCAGTAAGAGCAGTTCGAATGCAAATTGCGGTCGCGGCATCGATCGAGACGCAGATTGGCCAAAGATTGGCATTGAGAGTTGTCCACAGAAGCCCCAGTCTCGGGCATCCGAAAGAGTTCGAAGATTGTGGATGTTCATACTCTTGGAAGCTCATTCATCCATCTCTATGTAGAATTCATATATATATATATATATATATATTTATGAAGATTATGTGTTGTTTTTTAGTGTTTGTTGAGATAGAATGTGGCAGTGACAAGCTCATTTTTTGTTGTGAGGTTCTGAGTTGACTGCTCAAATTATCAATCAAATTTTATTTGTTCAGTTTCAAATTGTTTTTTTTGTATTGTACGTGATTTTAAAGGTTGGATTTCAATTATAATGAAATAAAGAATTGAAAAATAGTTCTATTGAGACTTATGCAAAAATGGCAGTGAAATGTTCAGAAGAATTGAAGTGATATAACAACAGCGAATTTTCATATTTTACAATTGATGTGAATGTAGATGAATTGGTATTAGAATGGGTACCTCTATTTATTACTTATTGAAGAAATTTTAAACAATTATTTTTGGGCTAAAATATTATCTGTCATATGTTTATTTTTCTTTTCACTTTTCTTCTTTAATTATTTTTTGTAAACTCTATTGTATAACTTAGTAAAAAAAGTACTCTAAATCTTCCACAATGTCTTGTTTGTCTCTCTCTCGAATGTTCTTGAAATAATGAGTATTCAAACACCTAAATTGGTAAACTTTGATTTGGAAGTGTCAATTATGTGCTTTGATACTTTATTTATAAATATAAATTTTCACATTTAAACAACAATAAAGTATTGTACAATAAAGAATGTGTAGAAACTAATAAAAGTACCTCTTGCAAGATTGATATGTACTTTAACTTTTGGTGGTAGTATTAAGACTCTTTTGAGTTGGTAAAATGTAGGTATGTCAAAGCATTTTAGATTCTTTTACTAAAAATATACATACCATAAATAATTATGAAAATTAAACATCATTTTGATTTTCAATATTAATTCTAAGTTTCATAATATTGGATGTCTGTATTGTTTTATGTCAATCTATAATTATTGATTTGAAGTATAAATTAAAAAAACTTCAATCTAAGTGTCACGGACACAGAATACAGACTTGAGATCTAAGAAGAAGTTCAAGAAGAATTGGTAAGAACTAGATTAATCAAATGAATACAAGAACAACACCAGAGAGGTGAGCTAGAGCTCCAAAAGATGTATTGTCGAGACTGAAGAACTCTTCAGCCTCGATTCCAATATATACTCCTATTTAAGAAGCTTCTCAAGCAACTTCTACCAACTAGGAAGCTTCTAGAAGGTTCTAGAGACTTGCTTCTAGAAGGTTCTAGAAACATGTCTCTAGAAGATTTTAAGGACTATGTCCCTAACATCACCCCTTCTTTTAGCTTCGAGGTCTCTGAGAAGCAATGTTGTTGTTAATTAGTACCAACGCAAGAAAATGAAGATCTATCGCATAACGTCTGCTATGAACTTCAACTATTATTCATGAGGCAAGTGATTTATTGGCCCTTGAAGCCAATGGTAGTTGCCCACGCCTTCGACTTCTGACTAAGCATGAACTTTTATATCCTCATTGTAAAATTGTCCTGCAAACACGCCTTCTGGCTGACCATCGTAAGCACACTCGAACTCAAATACAATCACTAATGATCGGTTATTCGGTATCTTCCGTCGTCGTCGTGGTATAGGTAGTTCTTCATCTTGGGGTCGCCTTCATGAGCTAGTTGGTTGAGATAATCTGATTGGCATAGTATCTATCTCTTGGCTATCCATATCAAAAGACCAAACTATGGCTACTAAAAAAATTCTACTTTATCTTGGAAAAAATAAATACATCAACTACAAATTTTGGTGGTCCTCTCCCTCTTTTTTAAATTCTTGGATGAACAAGCTTCAGAAGAAAGCTATTGTCGAACCAGCTTAGGTTTATGAGGATGTTGTTGATGAAATTCATGTACCTTTTACAATGCATTAGTGAGATTTTCAGTCGGCTCCCATATTCACTCATTAATGTCGTAGCCACACCAATGAACAAGATACTCCAACTTGCCTCACCTTCGTCATGAATCAAGCACCTTTTCAACTTCGTATTCCTCGTGGTTCTCGATCTCAATACTAGGTGGTGGACATTGCACTTTTTCAAGAAAAGACGACTGTCGATAAGGTTCCAACAAAGAAACATGAAAGACTGGATGTACCTTCATAGAAGCCGATAATTCCAGACGGTACGCCACTGAATTGATTTGCTTCTGGATGATAAATGGTCCCAATCTTCGATAGTCCAACTTATCACATGGTCGCTTGGTCTTGATATTTCGTCGAAGAAGCCATACTTTATCTCCAATTTTGAAAGTAGGTGCTTGATTTCAAAATCTATCTGCAAATGCCTTGTAGGATTCTTGAGCGGGTTGTAATTGAAGCTCTAATAGTTGTTTCGTAAATCCTTCAGCTACTGGATTGTTATTTGTTGACGGACTCAATAAATCAAGCTTCGGATGATACCCATAGTTGGAAAAGAATGGTCTGTATTGAGTCGATGCATCGAGGGTGTTTTTATATGCAAACTCGGCTAGCGGCAGATCTGTGGTTCAATCGTCTTACACATAGTTGATGCTGCATCGTAAGTATTGTTTTAAGACTTGGTTCATCCATTCCATTTAGCCGTCAATTTGAGGATGAAAAGCCGAAGAAAGCTTGATATCTACTTTCAGTATCTCAAAGAGAGATCTCCAAAACTTTGATATGAACTAGGTTCCTTGATCAAATACGATATCATCTGGTAGTCCATGATATCGATACACATTATCGAGAAAGAGCCTTGCTGTAACTTCACTGGACGATGTCTTCTTACAAGGGACAAAGTGCGCCATCTTTGTAAGCCGATCTACCACGACAAAGATGCTGTCAAATGAGTTCGATGATGGCAAGTCCGTGATGAAGTCCATGGAAATTGAAGACCATGGTCGACATGGAATTGGCAATGGCTGTAGAAGTCCATAAGGACGATGCCGAGGGTTCTTGGATCTTGAACAGATGTCACAAGAGAGGACAAAATCTTTCACATTCTTTCACATTTGGGGCCACCAAAAATCTAGAAAAATAAGCTCCAAGGTCTTCTTGAATCCAAAATGTCCCTCAGTTGGAAAATCGTGGCGAGATTGAAGAACTCCGAGTCGTGTTGGTCCTTTTGGGATATACAACTGCTCCTCAAAGTATAAAAGATCTCCCTCCACCTTAAACTTGTCGTCATTGGCACGCTGCTTGATATCAATGGCTACTGAATCTTCAATGGTCATGGTATGTACTTGATTGAGGAAGTCAACATCAATTGGCACAATAGTAGTGCAAAGCTGAAATTGCTCTGGCTTCAACAACGTCGTACATTGTTGATTAAATGCTACTTCTTTAGCCTTTGGTACAAGATACGATCTTCTCGATAAGGCATCAGATAGTCCTTGTTGCTTTCTAGGTCAATAAGTGATAACAAAATCGAACCTAGATAGCAATATACTCCATCGAGCTTGACGTCGATTTAGAACTTGAGCCGACATGAAATACTCCAAGTTCTTGTGATCTGTGTATACGATCACTGGGTGTGCAGCTCCTTTAAGAAAGTGACGCCATTCTTGGAAAGAATCCACTATAGTAAGAAGTTCTTTATCATGGATCTCATAATTGATTTTAGTAGTAGAAAACTTTTGAGAATAGAATGCAACTGGATGGAGCTTCTTGTGTTCTCCCATTTCTGAAAGTACAACTCCGAAAGCAAAATCCAAAGCATCAGTTTCTAAATAAAAGGCCTTTGTAAATTCTGGATGTACCAAGATTGGAGCCATAGTAAATGCAGTCTTCAGGACTTGAAATGCCTTCTCCGCTTGAGGTTCCTATTCCAACTTATCCTTGCATGTCAACCGAGTGAGAGGAGCAGCAACTTGAGAGTAATTCTTGATGAAGATCCGATAGAAGTTGGTAAAACCAAGAAAGTATTGTATGTCTCTAACTATCTTCGCAACCTCCCAAGACACGATTGCTTCCACCATCTTAGGGTCCATCTTCAAGCCTTCCGTAGTCCCAACGGACTCCAAAAACTCCATCTCTATTTGGTGAAATAAATACTTCTCCAACTTGGCATATAGTCCTCGCTCGTGAAGTTTCTCTAAGATTAAACGAACGTGTTTTTCATGCTCTTCTTCATTTTTGGAGAATATCAAAATATCATCCAAATAGATGACAACAAAATTGTCAAGGTGCTCTCGGAAAATATCATTCATCATATGTTGAAAGATCGCTGGAACATTGGTAAGACCAAAAGGCATGACATTATACTCAAAATGGCCATACCTTGTACGGAATGCTGTGTCATGGACATATACATTTATCTCAATAATTACCTATGTAACTAAGTAGAAGTAAGTAAAGATAGATTGAAGTAGGTAAGTTTGACAATATCCTTAGAGAAGCTTCCTAGAAGCTTCATAGACGCTGTTTCATCTTTATACATGTTTAGAGGTGATTGGTAGCTTGAATACGTGGCCAACAAGCTAGCCACGTGTCACGTAGCTTAGAAAGCAAGCTAAGTGTGTGGACTACAAAGTCAACACATATTTGCGGTCCTATAGGATTTCGCCACGAAGCCTTTAGTTAGATAGTATATATAGAGGCAAGAGTGAAGCCTTCTTCACTCTTGTCAACGCCTTTCTAGTCCTTAGTCTTGTTTTAAGACTTTCTAGTCTTTTTGTTTTTGGCAATAGCCATTCCAGTTCTAATACTACATTAGTTTGAGTGAATTCTTAGTCTTTCTTGATTTTTGAGTTCTTTTAGATTCATGTCCTTAACAGTTTGACAAGAGTGCTAACTTCTTTGTCTTGTCTTGTTCTAGAAGTGAGTGGATTATCCCACTTCTAATTGTCATGTTTTTGAAGGTTGCGGACTACCCACCTTCAAACATCAGTCTAGTCTCTAATACTGGTTTTTTTTTTCTCAAAGAGAGCGGATTACCCCTCTTTGTGGAAATTCTCACTTAACATTAGAGGTTG